ACATTGGAAAGGCCAGACATATCTCTAGATAGGTGCCCTGGTTTCCTGGGAAGTTCTCTACACTTATGCTTCTGATGCTCCCCAATAACATGGCTCTTGCTGAAACACATCTCCTCCAGGGGCTGTTCAATAAAGGGTAGGTGGGCTTCCTGGTGAGAGGAGTTACTTGATGGTCTCAACTGAGGAGGAGAGGTGGCATCCAAATGTCTCTGGCACATAGAATCTGGGCTGACAGCAAAATCAGAATCTTTACCACTACTGGGGTAGGTAGGCCTATTGTGAGGTCCACTTCCAATTCTCCCAGGTAGTTTTTGACCTTTCTTCTTCTGATGTTCTCTAGCTCGTCTATTCTTGAACCATATCTGGAGAACGAAAGGAAAGGGGAGCTTGTAAATGGTCAGTTGCACCCTCTGGGTGCCTAATATGATGATGTTGTATAAAAAACCTGGGCTGTGGCCTCTATCTACCATCCATCACAGAAATCTAGGGAGCCTAAACAGACAAAAAAAAACCCATAAAGTCAGCATAATCTGGACATAAAATTAGATTTAAAAAGATTGAATTTGGAATCACACTTTTTGAGGATGGCCCTGATCACTAAGATTCACTTTCACTGTGGAATACCACCATCCTTCCCCAGTACAACAGAATTCTATATTGAGAGACTAAGGGGGATATAAATCCAGCCTTGCATATACATTTCACCATTCTACAACATGGTCCTGTGTCAAGGAACACATATCTATAGACACTCACCAAAATGCAAAAGTCAAGACATGTGTGTACAGGAGACTCTTGGAAAAGTGGCTATCTGAGTAGCAGAGAGGGAGACAAGAGGGGCGTACCTTTATCTGTTTCTCTATCATGCCAAGTCTTTGAGCCAGTGACATGCATTGTTTCTTGTTCACATTTTTGGACTCCTTAAAATGCTCTAGCAGGACTAGCTTTTGCTCTTTGGAGAGCACATTTTGCTTCTTCGACCGTGTTCTTGCATCATTGGGAGAATCTTGTGACTCTGAAGACACTTGGAAATTCATGAGACCTTGTTGGATTGGTAAACCAGAGGTACCTGGAGAACTCTGGAGGCCTGCATTCACTGGATTATTGGAGGATTTGTTACTTGAAAAGAAAGACTGTCCTCCCATCATCTGTAGACTAAAAGATAATTGGAAGCCTTGGAGAATCAGGGATCGGTAGAATTTTGGAAATTTGGTCCCTTTATGAAACCTTGTTGAACAAGAGAATCTTGGACTAAAAAGAGAGAGAGATCAGAGAACTCCAAAGGGTTATCTCTTTCACTCAGGCTTCCCCATCAATTCCTCCAGACTGAACAACAAAGAGCTCAGGCCCCTGTCTTGGATGATACACAAAAGCATAGTAGCTTGCCCATCAATGTGGGGTCTCATCAGCCCTCCTCCTCTCTATTCTATTAGCCCTCCATGCCTATGGTTCCCTGTGTTCATATCTATGAGGAAACTCTCCAACTGTTTCTGCCTTTCCTCAGGACCATCAACCTTCCTGGAACACAACCTCCAAACACATACATCAGCTGCAGGATGATACCAAAGGTTTTCATCCACTAGCACTCTATCTCCTCCATAAGAATAAACACACTGAACAGACCCCTCATATACAAAAGATATGCAGGACATCCACTAACCTGGCAAACAGTGGGTTGTTTTGTCTTGTTTTTGTTCCTCTCTGTGTTTGACCAGTTCTCCAGAGACCAGGCCTTAAATATGTTCTGCAAACCGGACACTCAAAGCTCCACCCACTCTTTGGCTCCTCCCTCACTGTAGAACAGCCAATTCCTAAGATAAACATTCCCTTTGGTGCCACTGGGATTTTGGCCCTACCCTAGAGAGTCCTTGTGTCATTAATTGAATCACATTGTTTTGTTTTGTTTATTTTTGAGTCAGGGTCTGTCATTGCAGGAAGCTCTTTTCTTCTTCCTCTTTTTCTTTCTTCTTTTTCTTTTTTTAAATTATTTATTTTTTTTCAAATCATAATTCATTCACACAGGGGTTATAAACACTGAAAGTCAGGACATGGGAAAGGGTATGACACTGAAGTGTGGGTGTTCAGGGGGAATACAGATATCTTTCAAAACAGGGTATCGGCTGGATGAAGGTTCAAGGCACAGGTCACTATGACTCTCCCTACGTTTCACTTGTCCTTATCTAAGTTGGTGTTGTCTGCCAAGGCTACCTATTTACTATGTCTATGACTACTCAGGCTGGTAAATTTCCATGAAAGTTGTCTGTTTACAATAGCTTATAGCTACGTGTTTCAGTGTTTTTCCACTGAGACCCAAGACTTGGTGTTAGTATACATGTATGACAGGCCTATTGCTGATTTTAGGCCTATGGCTGATATTAGGCCTACAATGTGTAAGCAGGGATGTCCCTGACATCTCCTCCCTTCTTTAATTATAGAAGGGCTGTGGCAATTCTAATCTTGGGAAGTCAGGGGTAGAGGCCTGACCTCCAGTAATTGAAGGGGACCTTGTAATCGCTTCGGTCCCTCTGTCGTTGTCCAGTGAGGTATGGGGGCCATACTTGTCCCAATGTCTTTTTCCTGGAGAGGGGATACTTTTCACATCAACCCCTATGCAGTCAGGCTTGTCTCTCAGGGAACCCAGAGAGATATTTTTAAGTTTTATTTATATTCCCTTGCAGTGCTTAGCCTCGAAGCCTAAGCAAGAATTCAGATCGCCAGTCAGAGGAGGTTCTGGGTGGCCTCTCTCTGCTTGGTCTAGGGGCAGAAGTCCCCACTTTTAGGTTGGGTGGAGATGAGTTTTGGGAACACCCTGTACAAAGTAACAACCTCATCTTGAGTCTCGTGGTCCTCCATAGCTAACTTATGATAATATATCTGAATAAGTTTTGCTACCAAATTATTTATCTGTTGTTTCACAGAATTATTCAGCCTATTTGAGACCCAGGGACCAGCAGAAATAAGCAAAAAGAACCCAAATAGTGGTCCCAAGATGGGAGAAAGTAGGGTTGACAACCATGGAGAGGGTGAAAACCAATTCTTGTACCAGCACTCATCTTTCTCTTTCTCTCTCTGACTTTTCTCAGCGCCTTCTCTGATCTATTTCATGCTCTCTTTAACCCTCCCTGTTTTGAAGATGTAAAGGCAACATTCTTCTTTAAGGGCTGTACATAGTCAACAGCTGTACACAGCCTTTTCCATTGTAATAGAGTAAATCAAGTCCAATAAGGATCTTCGGGATTTTTGGAGGTCTCTTCAGACAGTGATACAAGGAATTTCTTCAGATTAGTGATGTCAATCTCTAGCTGTTTGATGTTCTTGTCAATGGCCCTTCAAAAGTCTGAGCAGTATAAGTTTGGAGGCCAGCATTTGTATTAGAACTTCTAACAGCAGACATCACGAGTGGTTCATTTTTACCTGGAAAGAAAAAAGAAGGGAATTCTCAGGGAGATTTCTCTTCCTTAGATGTAAATAGTTATTCATCTTATTTATGGTTAGGCCTGGCTTTGTGGGGGTATCTATTTGTTTCATTAATCTTCTTGGTAGCCAATTAGCTGTGATATCAAACAGGCATATCAATCCTCGGCCCTATAAGGGAACTGGGTCTGGGCCATTCCCTTTAAGAATAAGAGGGTCCTTCTCCATATCTGTGGCATAGTTTTTATTGGTCTCAGTGATGCCAGAGGCAGTCAGCAGCCGATTGCCATGAGCTTTCAGTTTTAGAGAGTTAAAAGTGAACAAGGCATGATGGAGAGTATTTCAGGGGGACTCCTTCTGGGGGAGGGGGTACCATTTTCCCTCTTATGTTTTTAAAGGTAAATTTTCAGAGTTCATGTAAAATCAGAGCAGAAGTGCCAACAGCCACTCCTTCCACACTCAGAGAGTCATGAAAACTCTATTTAAAGAAATATAAATCCATAATAATAATCCCTTTTATCATAGGATTATTATAGCACAGCTGACAGCTAGTCAGATTATATAATATATCGATTAGTGATAGCTTCTTCTACTTTTTGTGAGATTACTTCTCTTTTGTCAATTAATTGTTGAGGGAAATTAGGATTTACATCTCTCTTGAGAATATTAAACAGAGACTTAAATTCTTTTGTGGAGAGCTTAAAATAAGATCTTAGCCAATTAGCATCTCCTAGAAACTTTTGAAACTAATTTGAAATAAGTAAACTCTCTCTCTTTTTTTTAAAGACTCTTTATCTGTTTTTTTTTACTGGATAATTTATGTGTTTACATTTCAATGTTTTCTCCTCTCCCATTCTCCTCCGAAACCCCTTATCCAATACCTCCTCCTCCTATTTTTATGAGGGTGTGCTCCAAACATCCTCCCAGTCCCATCTCCCTGCTCTTGAACTCCCCAACACTAGGGGATCCAAACTTCCATGGACCATGGCCCTCCACTTCCACTGATGTCTGACAAGGCCACCCTCAATTAGCTATACAGGTGAAGACAGGAGTCCCTCCCTTTGTGCTCTCAGGCTGGAGGTTTAGACTTTGGGAGCTCTGGTTGAAGCTTTTGATACTCCTTCTAGAAAGGACCAAAGCACCCACAGATGATCTGAGTTCATTTCCAAGCACACACATGTGAGAACACCTCTGTCTTGGCTTTACCCCTGGAGAGTCTACACTCCTTTTTGACTCCAAGTCCCAAGACACCTGAATACATGAGTTCAGGCATTCATGTACATAAATATTTGGGGGAAACTTCTGACCCAATGTCATGGGATGAAAAACTGTGGGTCGAGAGTGTATGGGGACCAGGGGGTAATGACTGGAATGTAAAGGAATAAAATAATGTATTAAAAAGAATTTTACAGTAACTATTTTATCCTTTTATTTAATGAACATATAATCTAACAATAAAGAATGAATACCTAAACATACTTTGAAACAATCCCACCATATAAACCACAGTGGTACAAAACTTCAACAGCTAGGCCTGGTTAATTTTCCCCAATACTGGGATTAATGGTGTGCACTAACAGAATTCTTCATGGCTGTGTAGTCCAGGACTGGTCTAGAGGCTGGGAGTTGTAACTTGGACTTGGGATATATCTCATACTAAGCCAGTCATCAGATTTGTCAAAGTCTTCAAGAATCCTTTGCCAGAGCTCCTCTGCAGATGGACCTGGACATTGAGCATCCTCTGTGACTTGGGTACCAGCTGCCAGGGCAACTGGAGCTTCAGCGACTCCTAGGTCAGTCTGGACTTCAACTGCTGGGGATTGACCAGAGTCCCCAGCTGTAACAGGAACACAGCCATCAACCAGGGCATCTTGCTGGTTATACCTGTCACCATCACAGGACTGATAATGAGGCAGAGAGGATACCTGGTTGCAGTTGAGTTTGGCAATGGAATGCACACCAAATGTGGCTGAACGCATGGACTCTCCATTGTCAGTGGCAACAAGAGGTATGGAACCAGGAAAATGGATTGATTCTAAAACAGCTTCAGGGCTTCCACTTGTCTCTGGTAGAGTTTCTGTACTATTCTGTAAATTCATCCGCTTGTACTTAGCTCGATTGTTCTTGAACCAGGTCTGAAAAAACAAAGGAGACATCAGAAGAATAGCTGTTTGCCCCCATCTGGACATGAAGTTGAAGCTTTTGAACACGAGTTTCTATAGCAATACTTCACAAGTCAGCATCAGAGATGCCTGAGACTCAAGATGACCAGAAGATTGTAGTGAGGTAGAATGTATATGACCTGACAACAAAAGACTGGGGAGATTGTGCTAGTGTGTCCTGTGTGTTAGTAGGAACCATGATATCTAGGTCTCTGAGACCCTGCATGGGAATAATGTTCATCCATATTGGTAACAAGTTGATAGAAAATGTGAGGCCCAGCATTGGATGCATGAATATCCAGCACCCAAAACTGTCTACACTGCCCTAAGCATTTAAAAAGCATAAAAATCAAGTGCCTGATGGGAAAGGTGATATTGTTGCTATTGGATTGAGGGAAAAGAGAGAGGCAGACCTGGATCTCCTTTTCTGTCACATGAAACAATGATGCCAGCTTCTCACATTGCTCCTTGTTAGGTTTCTGGCAGTTATCAAAATACTCTTGCAGCTTGTGCTTTTGTTCTTTAGTGTACACAGTGCGTTCCTTTCGCTGCATTTTTGGACTCACAGGGTGAGTTTGTTAGTCATCATATTTATCTGGCAGTGTCATAGGTCCTATGGGATCATGAAAACCAGATCTCACTTAAGGTCTTGAAGGTATCTGATGACTTGGATGGCCTGACAGTCTTCTCAGTGTTGGTAAGCCTGGGCCAATCACAGCTCCAGGTTGTGTTCGAATACTTGAATTTCTAGAAGATTCTGAGGATACCTGTTGAGATAGGTAAAGTCTTTCAGGGACTGCAAGACTTGATTGCATTGGTCTCCATCTGAACTCTGGACCTAAGACTGTCCCACAGCCCTCCTTGCACAAATCTTGCCAGGAGAGAGCTGATCCCAGGAGTGCTCTTACTCCTAATCTTAGAGGTGAGATAAACAATTTGACTTATGAATATCGATGCAAAAATACTCAATGAAATTCTTGCAAACCGAATCCAAGAACACATCAAAACAATTATCCATCATGGTCAAGTAGGCTTTATCATAGGAATGCAGGGATGGTTCAATATATGGAAATCCATCAATGCAATCCACTATATAAACAAACTCATAGAAAACAACCGAATGATCATCTCATTAGGTGCTGAGAAATCATTTGACAAAATTCAACACTCCTTCTTGATAAATTCTTGGAAAGATCAGGAATTCAAAGCCCATACCTAAACATTGTAAATGCAATATGCAGCAAACCTGTAGCCAACAGCAAACTAAATGGAGAGAAATTTGAAACAGGAGCAATCCCACTATAATCAGAGAGTAGACAAGTCTGCCCACTCTCTCCCTATCTATTCAATATAGTACTTGATGTCCTAGCCAGAGCCAATTAGACCATAATAGGAGATCAAAGGGATACAAATTGGAAAAGGAAAAGTCAAAATACCACTGTTGGAAGATGATATGATAGTATACTTAAGTGACCTCAGAACTTCCACCAGAGAACTCCTAACCCTGATAAACAACTCCAGCAAAGTGGCTGGATATAAAATTAATTCAAACAAATCACTAGCCTTCCTCTACTTAATGGATAAGCAGGCTGAGAAAGAAATTAGGGAAATGACACCCTTCAAAATAGGCTCAAATACTATAAAATACCTCAGTGTTAATCTAACCAAGCAAGTGACAGATCTGTATGACAAGAACTTCAACTCCCTGAAGAAAGAAATCAAAGATCTCAGAAGATGGAAAGATCTCCCATGCTCTTGGATCGGCAGGATTATTATAGTAAAAACGGCCATCTTCCCGAGAGCAAACTACAGATTCAATTCAATCTCCATCAAAATCCCAACACAATTCTTCAAAGACACGGCAAGAGAAATTCTCAAATTGTCTGGAAAAGCAAATAACCAAGAATAGTGAAAACAATTCTTAGAAATAAAAGAACTTCTGGGGGGAATAAACATCCCTGACCTCAAGCTATACTACAAAGCAGTACTGATAAAAAACTGCATTGTATTGGTTCAGTGACAGGCAGGTAAGTCAATGGAATAGAATTGAAGACCCAGAAATGAACCCACACACCTATGGTCACTTGGTCTTTGACAAAGAACCTAAAAATATACAATGGATAAATGAAAGAATCTTTAATAAATAGTCCTGGAATAACTTGCAATCTGACCATGGAAAAATGAAAATAGATGCCTATTTGTCACTGTGCTCAAAGCTCCATTCCAACTGAATCATGGACCTCAACATAAAAACAGACACACTGAATGTAATAGAAAAGAAAGTGAGAAACAGTCTTGAACTCATTGGTACAGGAGGAAATTTCTTAAACAGAACTCTAATAGCTCAGGCTTTGATATCAAGATTTGATAAATGGGACCTTTTGAAACTAGAAAGCTTCTGTAGGTCAAAGGACATAGTCAATAGAACAAACTGGCAACCTACAAATTGGGAAAAAAATCTTCACTAACCCCACATCCCATAGAGCGCTAATATCCACAATATATAAAGAACCGAAGAAGCTCACCACCAAAAACCAAACAACCCAATCAAACAAATGAGGTATAGAACTAAACAGAAAATTCACAACAAAGGAATCTGGAATGGCTGAGAGACACTTAAAGGAACCTTCAAAGTCCTTAGTGATAAGGGAAATGCAAATCAAATCATGAGATTCCACCTTATGCCAATCATAAGGACTAATATCTAAAATTCAGGTGACAGCACATTTTCAAGGATGTGGAAAGAGAAGGACACACCTCAACTGCTAGTGGGATTGCAAACTGGTACAACCACTCTGGAAATCAGTGTGGAGATTCCTCAGAAAATTGGAAATAGATCTACCTAAAGATCCAGCTATACCACTCAAGTATTGGGTTGGGGGAACAGTACTGTAGTCTTGAGGGTCAGCAGAAAGAAAGAAAGCCTACAATCTCAAGAGGTAGGAGGTGGGGTTACAGAGAGGTTCTTAGAACACAAATGGAGGGACCTTAGATGAAATTCCCAACAGTGGGGAAGGGGTTCTTGTCGATCCCATCTCCAGCAGAAAGGCAGGACATCAAGAGAGGGATGGGATTACCATCCCATGAGGGATGGGGTGGGGGAGGGGGCGCTAATCCATAAGGGTTCTGTATGAAAAAACTGCAGGGACAAAAATAAAGAAGAGCCTGAGGAAAAAAAGGTCCAGTTACAGGCCCAATTTGGATCCAGCTCAAGGAGAGGCACCAAAGTCTTCCACTATTACTGAGGCTGTGGTGTGCTCACAAAAAGAGGCCTATCATGACTGCCGCCTGAAAGATAAACAAGCAGCTGGAAGAGTTAGATGCAGATACTTGTACCCAACAAACTGATAGAACCTGCTGATCCCTGTGATTGAATTAGGGGAAAGAAGGAAGAAGCTGAAGAGGAAGACCAGCAGTCTCAACTCACCTGGACCCCTAAGATCTCTCAGAAACAGGACCACCAATCAGGGAGCATACACAAGCTGATATGAGGCCCGCCCCCAACACATATACAGAAGAAGACAGCTTGGTCTGGAATCAGTCAAAGAAGATGCACCTATACACCTAACCCTCAAGAGACTGAAGGACCAGGGAGTGGGGAGATTTGTGGGGTGGGGACGTCCTCATGGAAACAGAAGGAGGAGATACGGGATGTGTAACAGTCAGTGGTTGGACTGGGAGGGGGATAAAATCTCTACTGTAATACAACTTATTTTTTTTTTAAAAAAGGAATGTTATTAAAAATGTGTGTTGTCTGTAGTGTGTGTGTGTGTGTTTCTGAGAGAGAGAGAGAGAGAGAGAGAGAGAGAGAGAGAGAGAGAGAGAAACCCTCTCCTTTCTTCCAGCTTCTGTCTCAAAACAAGGAGTGAAGGGCTATTTAACAGGTAAGAAAAATGAATCCCATTCCAACCTCATCATCCACACAAATGAATTGATGATCTAATTACCCTGGATATCAGAAGGCTCTTACACCTAACCAAGACCTTTCCCCCCTCGCCCCCACTCGCATATTGAACTTCCATATCAAGGACTTAGCCTTAAGTGAATCTCACTACCTAGAATCCTCCCACAGGCTCCTCCTTTCATCCTCTCACATTCAACAGACATTCACACCCTGTGGACACACCCAGTCTGGAGCCACACCTTAACACCTAATGGAAACCTGGCCAGATTGAAGACATTTTTTTGTGTGTGTTCTTTTCTTTCTTACATTTCTTTTCTTTTGAGACAGAGTTTCTGTGTATGAACTGTGCTGTCCTGTGAGTCTTGATACAAGGCCAAACTAGAATTCATAAAAGATCCTCATGCCTCTTCCTTCACACACAGTGCTAGGATTAAAGGTGTGTAACAAACAACTGATCCATCCTGTGGGGTTTTCTGCACTCTTGGGCTCCATCCAGAAAAAAATCCGTCCTTACTCTCTAGTGACTATCCCAAAAATGATTTTCTTCTCATCTTGCTGCCCAGAGGACATGCAGATTCCTGCCCACTGCTGTCACCCATTTATTCCTCCAATCTTTCTCTTTTTAGACTGAGGCAGTGTCCATGTGCATGTTTCTCACTTCCTGATTTCACTATACAGACAAGCCAGGCCCCATTACCACAAACCCGGTTGCCAATGGTTCCTCAGTCACAGGACTAAAGGTGTGGTTCACACAACCAATATGGTTACACCTTCAAGATGAACGTGGGCCTGCTCAGCGAAAACCCATCCTGGATGTCACACTTTTGAGCCAGAATACCACCACTATGTCTGATCTAGATAATCTGGGGCCTCATTTGTTCCACAGGTAACTCAAGATTCCATTTTGACTTCTTCCTAGTCATGCATGTATGTTTGTCTAACGGGAACTATATCAGAGAACCCCTACAGTCCCTTTGTCCTAGAGTCAGGCCCCTCCATCTATTGATCCAGGTGTTCTATATAACCCAGGGCTCAGGACTGTACCTAGAATGAAGAATAGAGCACCTAGAGGTCTCTTGAAAGTTTATTCATAGACTGCCCCAATCCATGCATGTCACTGGTTCTCAGTGTTCACACCTATAGAATAGATTTGAAACATCTACGAATTTTAAATATCTTCTGCCTGTGTATAAGGCCTATTTTAGATTTCACCAAGCAAACACCCATACAAGCTACAAAGAATTACCAAGACTCCTCCTCTGCTGTCTCCCAAACTTCCCCACCGTGATATCCCATTCACATCACAACAGTAAACATTTCATGCAGCCCACCAACTCACCAGGAATCCAGAGGGTGTCTGCACCTTGCTCAATTGTCTGTTTCAACTCTTCTCAGAAGACCTGCCCTTAAATATCTCTCCAAACTTAGAATTCAATGCTCCGCCTACCCTTTGGAAGCTCCTTCTACTCTTTGGCTCCTCCCACTTGCAACATTCTAATCCATTATCCTCATCCACCCTTTGAGGCTGTTCTGGTTGTAGCCACACCTTATAGAGCTCATGTTGTTGGTTTTGTTTGTTTGTTTGGTTGGTTGGTTTTTTACTTTATAATCATTATTTTGTTTTATTTTATATTTATTACACTTATTATTTCACAGTCCAGCTGTTACTTTCCCTCCCATTCCTTCCTCCCACAATTCCTCATCCCATTCCTCATCCCCCAACTCCAAGATGATGGCCTCCCATGCAGAACTGCCTGCACCCTGGGTCTTTGGACAGTGAGGTTGCTCTTCTCCCACTGTGGCTAGACTAGGCAGTCCTCTGCTGTATAAGTGTCAGGCATCTCGAACCTGCTCACATATGCTGCCTGATTGGTGGTTCAGTGTCTGAGAGATCTCAGGGGTCCAGGTTAG